TCCTGCTGAGTGACTATATATATTGTTTGCTATAATGTAACCATTCCCATCTTAGGCTAACCTTTAATAATTTCTTGTTTATGGTAAGAATATTTAAATGGATTTGAAGGTTAAAGCAACCAGTCTGACCTGCTGCATAAGCCAGACCACAAGACTGTGGGATTCCTGCTTGTAGCTCAACATACAGATGCTGGATTAGATTTTAAAACAAGATTAATAAACTACTGAGTTCTGCAAGACACTCTGTCTAGCTGAAAGCTCTTTTCCAGTGATGCCTCCAGCTACTGCAAGCCAAGAGAAAAAAAGACAAACAGGTTAATATAAACCTGCAAAAGATTATATGCTAGAGGAGAAAACTACACTATCTAGGAAGGTATGTAAATGTATAATATCAGATGACATAAAAGATAAACAAGGGCAGTCCACTAATCCTTACTGGATTTGCAGGTGTCATGGGTTTTTTGTGTAAAGATTCTAATGACTTCAAAAGACACATGAAACTGTCTGTCCAGTGCAAAAGAAATTTGATTACGTGGAACATCAATATCTTTGTTATTTGTTCCACCAGCACCAAGATCAAATCATTAGCATTATAATGCCACAGTAATTTTTGACACTCATTTAATGCTTTTTATGCCCATCTCTGTTCCTGACTGCTGGATGACCTTAGACCTGTGCCTCAGATTCTTCCCTGAAAAAGTGCCTAAAAACATGAAGAGTGAAAAATATGTATCAGGTATTTTGCACTTTCCCTTGGGACAGATGGAAGATTTGCATCATCTGGACTGACAAAAGAAATCATTTGCTCTTGGTGTATATGGGAAATGTAGCTTTATGAGATTTGCACAACCTTTTTTTTGTTTGCTTGTTTTTTTAACTATCCTGCCTCTCCCCACCCCGCTGCTTTGCAGTCCAAAGAATTGCATCTGCCCATACTGTTTCTTACAGCTTACAATCTTAGGGATTCTCCCCTTAAGATAATAAAATATTGCACTGTTTTCCTACTGTTTTCATACAGACTGTATCCCAAAGTGGCCTACACAGTTCAACAACTACCAGAAACAGAAAGCATAGAATTACTTTCTGGATGAGGGAGAGGGGGCATTTATTTTTATGTGACCTTCAAAGTAGTGTCACTGCAGTGGTGAGGAGACAGAAATTTGATGTTCTGCAGGAACTGAGAAAAGTTTCTTACACCGAAAAGCGGGAAAATTGTAGCCAGTGATAGGGGAGAATTGTGTTAAACTAGTAGAAACAGAAATAGTCAATGGGAAAGATATGAACCAGTGTATATTGGAGCAAGTTCAAAGAGGCCTAAAATAATTAAAGCAACTTCAAATCAGATTATGAACTAAGTAGACTTTATGGAAGATAGATATGTATATGTGAGACACATACTTGGACCAATTACTCCAACAAATTGGCTAATATATTATAGTATTTTTTTTCATTGGCATCATTGTGCAGGTGAACTCCTTTCTGAAGTTTATAATAACAATCTAAAGTTAACAGAGTTGTTCCCGTTTCCACAAAGACTACATTTGGTCCAACATATTAATCACAGCGTATCTTCTTCTATAATATTTTAACACTTTAAAAAACAGACAGACAAGAATCCCCACAACCTTCTTGCTGAGCATTCTATTCCATTTTAGCCAAAGGTTGTCTTACATGCTTACCACAAATACAGTAGCTATTTGGGAAACCTTCTCCAAGATGTGCTAAAACTATGCAACAATATGATCTGATTATTGGCCTGTAGACTGCAGAGCTGCCAGTCACAGGCATAAAAGCATACAATCTAAGATACCGTAACAGTATGTAGTCAATGCTGTTGATATTTATAAATGCATTTGGGGGTACTGACATTTTCCACTGGAGCAGCTGTGTGGAGACTTAGAAATCATGAACAATTACTCCTAACTGCATGATTGTGTCAGCTATGAAGGCTGACACAAAGGCTTTGAATTAAGAATAGTAGAGAGCAAAGAAAAACCTGATTTAGTGAGAATGCCTGTGTTTTTTTGGGTGCTGAGAACGGCCTCTGTGACTTCGCTTTCAAGAGTTGGTGTTTTACAAGTTGGGCTTTAATTTTTATTTGCTTGTGTTTGGAATCTTTTCAGATTGGAAATACAAGGTAACCTGTGCAGCTTTTGTACCTAAGGGAAATGTAAACGTGATTTCTGAGAAGTTTTTCTGCACAAAGGTCTTCCTTGCCAGACTTCAAATACTTTTTATTCTGCCACTAATGAACAATGTTCTTTTCTCTATTCTACTTTTCTTCCCATTGTTTGCAGGCTCTACAAAACTGTGCAACTAAATGATGTCAGTGGATCTGCTTAAGCACACAGATGTGCTTGTCATAAAATATGTTTCCCTTTGTCTGCCATCAATACAAGGCTATTTTCAATAGCACAACTGGCAAAACGTGAAAAAATATAAATTTTTTTGGGATAAATGTAGCTTCTTTTTTTTCTCTTTTCCTGGATAATTTTCAGATTTCCTCACCTCCATGAATTTGTTTATTCTTCATAGTATATGAATAGATTTCAATCTAAAAAACTAGAATGTGTTTTATATAATAAGTTCTTTTCTCAAAGATTTGCTCAGCATGTTTTTTGTGGTATGACCAATCACTAGCATCACATTGGATATTTTGCATTGCATAGTTAATATGTCAAAAAAGACATATACTTTTCGTTGTATACAGATCTCTCTGCTCTTTTGAATTTTGTACCAGGTAGCTGCTGTTTCAATGTTTCTGAACATCACACAAAACAACTATTTTGAGTAGCCAGTCACAGCTAAGCACAAACTGCACAAGTGCAATGCCCAGTCCCTCCTCTGACATACACTCAAACCTTTTGGACTAGGAAAGGGTGTTCCTGTTCAGATATGATAAGTGCTGACAACAACCTGCCTTCCCCACCCTATTTTCTGCTGAAACCCAAATATATTTTGTAAGGGTGACAAGGCCTGAAACTCTGCTTTTCTTAAGTTACAGGAGTAGGCTGGTATCATCTCTTCTTTAGCAGGAAATGAATGTTCATGCATGTGTGTATGTATAAAGATAACAGGAGTGTTAGCACACTATCAAGGGATAAGACAAACTTACACTTTTCCCCTCTCCAGGCAGAGGTGTATGATTTAAGTTTTTCACTCAGCCCCCAAGAATCAGCACTAGTCCTGGGAAGTGGCTTCATTCTTCCAACTCAGCCACCAGTCAAAGTATGTGGCGTAACACACACAGCTGCAGGGCCTGCTATATAGTCTTTAATGTCTCTGCAAACCAGACCTGAGTAATTACCTCCACCGATTTGCCCAAGGGTTTATTCAAAAACTCCTTTCCACTGTACCAGACTGAGTTCCTATCCTTGCCTGTCAAACTGGAAAGGAAGCATGAGAAATTTTTATCCACAGCTAAATAGCCCTTAATCCAGTCCTTCAGGATTATGCAAGATAGCAAATACCTTTTTTTTCATTCGTCTGTTTTGTGTATCAAGCTGGGGCAAAGATGGATTGTTTTGTTTTGCTCATTAAAGCATGTAAGTGACTTGGAAGCTAGGTGCTTTTAAAATATGCTACCCTAGTGATTTCTTTGGTATATTTTGCCACTATTTAAATGATCAACAACAACAACAGTATACGAAGTATTTGAGTCTCAGACCCTTTCGATAGCTGACAAAAGAGAGAGTGTGTTTTCATCCCCCTAGGGCTCTCAAAAGCATTAAGACTGACTTTCAGTAGGTCGGGGCATTGTTACTCAGGAAGGAGGTGCCTGTTACACAGAGTCATCCATTGTTTCTCCTCCTTTCAGATGAACAGAGCATTCTGCCTTGTAAAAAAGAAGAACTACAGTGTGGTAATGGACTCTGCCTCTTAAACTGGCTACGCTGTCAGTATAAGAAGGACTGTGGCAGAGACTACATGTCCATCAAACTAACATGTTCAAGTGAGTTACCTTTCACTTTCCTCCGAAATTATGAGAAAACGTCCTATGAATGTAAATCCCTTTTCTTACTGAATCTGTGTTTGTAACAGTATACTGCTCTATATATCAGATATGTTCCGGTTTTGTTATTGCAAGGATGTGGGTATTTAGGGTTTTACTTACTTATATGTCTAAAACATTTTTGTTGCATGCTGATTTCAAGTGATCTAGCAGTCAAACTTTAGCAGTTGTAGGAATGGAAGATTTGGTCCTACTCAAAATTCATTACGCTAATGTGTTGTGAAGAATGCTGCTCTAAAATGCAGTTTCAAAAGAAAAAAAAAAAGTGTAATCTAAACACTGAGAAGGCCTAAAAAAGGCTATTGTCAGAAACAATTAAATACTGGCAGCACTACAAAATTACTACAAAACAGTGACTGCTGGCTGGGCAGTCAGCATTTGGAAATTGAGGCCTGGCTTAAGTTGAGGCCTAGCTTAAATTTAGGCTAAGCTTAAGGTGAATAAGAGATGCTATGAATAAGGCTTGTGAATAAGATTTAATGTGAATGTTAATGTGAATAAATAAACTGCCAGATGTTAAAGTAATATTTGGGCAGGGGGAGAGAATTACTGTCAAATCAAAGATATCCAGTGTATTTAAAGGAGTCATAGGGTAACTATTGTAAACACCTAACTAGTTCCAGCCATTTGTTTTAGAAACAGATTTTCAACATATTTTGAACAAATAAGTTCAAAGATGAGCTGGAGAATTTCTGAAGAACAGAAGTCAGTTGTAGTCTCAGCAGTAGCACGTGGTGATTTAACCGTCTGAGCCATTCCTGTTCATACCTTTTGCTCATGACGTTAACTTGCTAATTTCAAGCTACAGTTTTAGCTCTGAAACCTTCCTTTTAATATATACATTTTGTAAGTAGCAACATCCGAGAAGGCAAATTATTCCACACGTACAAACAGGACCAATCATGTACTGCTGTCATGAATTATTTGCCTGCAATACCTGTTGACTTTGGGTTTTTTTGAGTTAACACAACATTGTGCACAGAAGAACACAGCTGCAATTTTGCAGAAAGGCTTGAAGTTATTGTAGGGGAAGCAGACTGATGGCTACTGGCAATACACTGAAAGCAGATTCATGGCTACTGGCAATACACTTCAGATGAAAGGAAACCAAAAAACACATTCCAGGAGTGTGCCTGATGAGCACCATCCTCTAAGGGGCATTCAGATCCACAGATGCAAAGCAAGGCTAGTCCAAAGTAAAACCCTCGGAAACACAGACAGTGTAGACAGCAGGTCTTCAACACCAACTGTTCCTGTCTGCAAATCTGCACTTGTTGCAACACAGTACTTGGCTTTACAGTGGAGTTAAAGCATTCATACAACACAAGCACTCTGCAGAACTGATCATAGTCCATTAAATAGAGCAGGACACAGGTCAAATCCACAGAGCATGGAAAGATTTTGCATTTATAGCTGAGAATTCAGAAGGGCTACACTTTACATGTGTGGGAGGACACAGAAGACCTGAATCTAGGCAAGACCTCAGGTTCTTATGCTCTTAACTGCTAATCTAATCAGCAGAGATGAGAACTAGCCATATTTTTTCTGAGCAAGCATGCTGGGGGGAGTGGAAGATTTCGTGGGAACACATCAGTTTTGACAGTCCTACATCTTGCCTGTATTACACACATAAATAAGTCCTACAACATCCAGTGTTCCACTGGGAGGGCAGAAAGGAGAGAAAGGAAGGTCCTGCCAGGTGTTATCTACAGGACATTCATAAGGCCTGCATGTCCCATAAGACAGGAAAAATTGTTTGGCTGGTTGATTTTTAACCTTGAGGTTGAGCAATCATTCCAAATGAAACCTATTGGACTAAATCCCTGATAACTCATTCCATATTTGTGCAGTAGGATTTTCAGATCACATAAAAAGCTTTCCAGCAACTTGCATCTTGCAGAAGTACGCATTATTTTCAGCCCTTTGATAAAGATATGTGCATAAAGTAAGTAGTAAGTGACAACAGACTCTTCTTTAACATATTTAAATATATATATTTTTTCTAAATGCAAAGCTGTCAATTCAGCACTAATAAGAAAAAGCTAACAACCGTGTTGGTTGATAAAATAGAGTCAAATAGTCACAGGTTGGCTCTGAACACGTTATGGTAGTTAAGAGCTCAAAAATACTACAAAACCCACAGATCATTTGCAATGCTTGCAGGAGCACACACAAATCAAAAACTACTTAGAGGAAAAACTCATTATTTTTCAATGGAAAGACTGATTTACTGTTCCCAGCTGAACTTAAGCATAGTGTGTCATCCAGTGAGGCGCTAACATCTGTTACTTCATATATACTTCACAGGTACAGAAACATTTCAGACAAGACAGGTGCCAAAGCACCTCTATCATGTATTGGTTTTGCTGGATAGCAGCAAGAACTGTTAGAAGATCAACACCAACAGAAAATCTACACAAAAACTATGCAATTAGAACTATTATACTGTCAGTCTAATACCATCTCATGTAGCACCACTACCTAGTAATAAAGGACAAGGCCATGATAACAGCTAGATGAGTTCAAAAGTTGACAGATTTACATTTGCCCTTAGACACTGGAAAGTCATGTCTGAAGATGTGGCTATGTGAACACGTGAAAATGAAGTACTTCCGTTTAAAAAAAATCCTCTTGTGATTTATCTGTAGATAACATTATATAATAAGGGTGTGTGGGTACGTATACATTTATACAAATAGGTATCTTCTTTACTGTCTTTCCTTCTATAGATTTGTGAGATAGAGCCACTCCACTTGAATTAAGTTATTTATTTACTTATTGCTCTTATTTCTGCTTTGTAATGCTAACAGCTGAACACATGGCAGAATGAAAGTAACTAGTACAGAGTGAGCTTTCTTTGCGGATGAAGTTAGGCCTAGCGACATTTATTGTACAAAGCTCCTTCCTTCATCTATTACTATTTATATATAACTATTTATTACCTATCAATTTACTTGCAGCATCCTATCTGCATATATTAGCCACCTCAAATCTTGAAACTGGGACAAAAATAGCTCATAGGAAGAAAGGTCTCTTGAATAAAAAACCTACTAGTCCTGTCACCAGCTTTCTTGCCATATTTTGTTTAAGGAGTATTCTTTTCTTCAGGTAGCTCTTAGTGCTCATGCTACTGTGAGATACTTCAGATGAGTGTGTAAAAATTAGTAATTTAAGTAAAGGTAAGACTAGGACTGTAGAAAGTTTATCCCCAAAAGGCTTTCCAAGTTAATATCAAGACCAAACTTATACAGTCTACTTATAACTGTAAATGTACACACATATGCTCACCCATAAACATATAGCATCCCGTACATAAGTACCATCTGTGGTGTTTGAGCCACACGCAGCAAGGGGTTGCAGAGGGCCCTCGTCTCAGTACTTTCCTCCCTGGCTTGCAATGGTACTGTGCTACGGCAGGGCTCACAAGCTGGGCGGAGGAACCAAGGGAGCAGAAGCAACCCCTGAGGCACCTTGTCCTCCTCTACTTGGCATTGCTCCTGGAGCAACCGTTCAGCATGGTGTCTATGGAACATGTCTCGTGTCTGTTAAGTTTAAAAGTATAAAAGCTGTGATACACGACCCTCCATGTCTAGACTGTTGGTCATTACTGTATTTATCTTGAATTTGTTTCCCATGTGAGAATAACTTTGTTGGATATAAGCAAGAGTAGCTAAATCAGTGTTTGCAGCATTTTCAGTTCCTTGTTTCTAATTCAGAAGGCTAAAATGGGAAATGAGTTTTCATTCAGCTTCACAAACACAATATAACAAATCACTTATGGGGAAAAAAGTCTAATGAGATCTCTGCGAAGTAGTGAAAATGTCATCTCTACGTGTAAACAGCAATTCTATGTAAATTAACACAATCAAAAGCAGATGAGAAAACTGGATTATGTGCTTAAGGAAGATTATACTGGTTCTGCCTCAGGTGTTAACATTTCACTTTTTACTAATTTGTAATTAAGTACATTTTCAGTCACAGCAATAGTGCAAAACTCTCATTTGCAGGCACATGGTAGGATAAAATATAAACCTACACATAAATGTATCATTCTGAATCACCAAGGTTAGTAGCCAACTGAATATTTGGCCTATAGGTTAGAAAAGATCTTTCTTTCAAACAAATTTGTACAGTCATACTAATATGTTTTAGAATTTCATAGCAGGACCCAAGTACCTGGGATGCCCACTGAAAGCAATAATCATTTAAAGCATTACACCCTTAAGCTATAAAGCATAAATAAAAACATCAGACTTTTACATATGAGCTACCATTATGCTTTCTCATCTCAAATTTGTTATGTTTTCTTTACAGCTGATGGTATCCTTATTCAGAAATTTAATTCTTTTTATTTTTGGCAAAAAAAGCCTTCATCTAGTTCTTATGAAACTCTCATATCAGTAAGAAGGTAACAAGAAGGAAGCATAGGTCCCTCATTACATATTTCTCTGTTTAAGTGCTTTTAACAGCTATCCTTAAAGCTGGTCTGCATTGTCTCTTACGTATTTTCTGTGTCCTTGGAATGAGTTTGCCATGCTGCTTAAGGACACTGATTAAGAATGTGTACAGATCTGTTACACAAGACTGTTGTTGCTTATTTTGATGTTTTCGAAGATTAGGGGATTGTCACAATTTTAATCTTTTTAATTTAAAGGGGCACAAGAGGGACTATAAATGTATATATACTTAGCAGCATATACATATATACACTATTATGCTATATAAAAAAAAAAAAGTAGACATTTATTGCAACAACCTAAAAACCTTTTGATACCTGGCTCTAAGTCACTTATACTTCTTTTGTAACAACATACTGTAGACATTGAAGTGTATAGTACTATAGATCCAAAGATATTGAACTACCACTAGCAAAAATTGTATGGCCATCTTCTTCCTGCTTATGCTTAGAGGCTGCACCTGCATTCCATCCCCTTATCCCC